GATAATTTATGATTTTTTTACATTTTTTTAAATAAAAAAAAATAAGATAAAATTTTTAGTTTATTAAACCCCTTATTTATTATTACTATTAGTAATTATTAGTAAATTATATATATTTAATTAACAACTAATTTGTTAAATTAAAAGTAATTAAAAGTAAATTAGGTATTTATTTTTAATAATAATATTAATTAATTAATATTTTTAATATACAATTTTATTTTAAACCAATGATGATGATGATTATAAAAATAAAATAAAATAATACTAACAATCATTAAAAAAAATAATTATAATTATATATTTATTTTTTTAATGTTTGCTAACTACCCATATACGTAGTTTTAAATGCAACAACAACAAAAAATACAATATATAATTAGTTTTTATTGTATATATTTTATTACACACAAACATACATACATACATACATGTGTGTGTATGTGTTTGTGCCATAGCAACACATTATAATAAAACATATATAAAATAAATAATAATAATAAAAAATAACTGCTATATTATATCATCCTTGATCATTTTATTTCCAATTCAAATGTAATGCATTTATTATTTTTTTATTATAACACACACACACACACACACATACAAACATATACACACATACACACATACACACACATACACACACATACACACACATACACACACATACACACACACATACACACATACACACACATACACACACAACACATAAACTCACATACATGTGCTAATACATACATACATACACAATGTAGTAATTATCATTTTGATCACTTGATCATTTTGCGTACATAATAAAAATAATAATAATAATTAAAGTAAATTCCTTAACCTTTAAATAAACAATATAAAACAAAAACAAAAATAAAACTATCATCATTGTTTTAGTAATTGCAATTAGTGTATTTGTGTAAAAATTTAATGTATAAATAAAAAAATATATTTATTGTTGCCCTCCCACCCCCCCCAGGTAGTTTATAATAATAATACTAATAATACTAATAATAATATTGATCTATGAACTTTGTATATGTGTATTAAAATACTAATAAAGTATTTTTTTCAATTGATTTTTAACTTTTTTCCATTTTTTAAAAAAAAGTGTCTACAAATATATGTTACAAAAAATTTATTTATTTTTTTTTTGAGTGTTATGGTTGCCAACTCTAGAAAATTAATTACAATATATTTATTTTATGTATGTGTGTGTGTGTATTAATTGACATCAAGTTTTTTTTGTTGGTTACATTATTACTGTATTAATTAATAATATACAGTAATATAAACATTTAAACTTTAATTTTAAAAAATTAAAAATCTTATAAATTATTTTAATAACTAACATACAGTATATAATTTACTTTACTGTTGTAATTGTAAGTAAGTGTAAATTAATTTAAATATTTTATGAATGTTTTTGTAATAATTTATATATAATATTTAGTTAGATTTAATATATATATATTTATAATAAGCAAGTTTTGTATGAAAAAAAATAAATAAATTGTCAACCCTATGTGCTATTGAAATATCTATTGATGTGATACTGGCAACCTTATTAGTTATAATAAAAAAAATAAATATTATATATATCAATATATATCATGTTTTTGAAGTTTTGACATACAATAGTACTGTATATATCATTATATATATACAGTAATATTACTTTAGGAGAGTAAAAGGAGATCTAAAAAAAAGTTAAAAAAATAAATATATATATAAAAAAAATTATTATTATTTATATTTTTCTTGTATTTTATTTCCACATATCATATATTTGAGATATATATATATATACAATATATATATATATTTGATATATAAGTATCGTATATATGATATAATATAATATTTTTTTGAGTGTTTTATTTTGTACTTATTTTTATATATATAATATGTTTTAAAGGAAACGACCACTTATTCAACAAACTAAGTGAATGACACTTTTGAAAATAAATAAATATATATATATATATAATATATTGATATATAAAAAATTTATGTTATATTGTTGTTGTTGTTAAGTGGTATAACTTATATAAATTATATCTATATATTGATATCATATATCAAATATATATTTTATATTTGAGACGACATTATATCATAGGATAAAATATCATATTTAAAAAAATAAGTTATTGTGTAAATATACTTATATATATCTAAAAAGTATATATATATATATATAAAGTATACTAAACTTATATTTTTTAGTGTATATGTATTTTGTTTTAAATAAATATATATTTAATATTAAAATACAATTTTATTATAAGTAGTTGTGAATAAAATTGAAATTTTTGTTTTATATATAAATAAATACCAATTTAAAAAAAAACAATTATTTGTTTGCAGTTTTTCTTAGAAATTGTGTTTTTTAGTTAAAAAAAGTAAAATAACAATTTTTTACAACACATAATAATAAAATATTTTTAAATAAATATTATCAATATATATACAGTATATATACATTACATATACAGTATATTTGTCAATAACTATAACAATACAGTAACTAATATCTGCTATATATTTATTTATAGGTAAGAAATATTAATTTTAAATATAATTAATTACTTAAAATTATAATTTATATATTTAAAAAATATTATTTATTATTAGTTAATAATTTATTACAATAATTAACTAATCTAAATGTTGTATAGTTTTTATGAAATTATAATATTTTTAAACTTTTAGTTTTTTTCAAAAAAAAACAATTGAAATAATTTTCTAAATAATTTTTAAACAAATTTATTTTTTTTTTTGTTTAAAAAACAATAAATAATATTTTTTGAAAAATTACATTAATATTAATATTTTAAAAAATACAATATTGTTTTATTTGTTGATATAAATAATATATATATATTTGATATTATTTATGCAATTTATTTAATTAATTATTAATTTATTCAATCATTTATCTTAAATATATATATATATATATACAATATATACAGTATATTATTCATTATTAATATGATAGCAAAATAGCTATCAATCATTTAATATTGTTTTCGTATAGTATATTAATATAACTTAGTTTATAATAAATATTATTATTATTATTATTATTACTAAAAATCAATATGTTTTATTTAGTAAAAGTCTATATATTATTCAAAAAATGATAAATTGTATGAAAATATAGTTTTAAAATATATATATATATATATTCAATATTATTCTATAATAATAATACTTTTTTTTGTTAGCAATTTTTGAAATGTTATGTTAATAATTAAAAAACGATTTTATACTTTCATTACATTAGTATATTATAATTGTTTGACAGTCTATAATGTCTTAATAGAAAATTAAATTGAAACATAAAAAAAATATATTTATGATATTTATAATTTGCATAATAAAAAAAATATTAATAATTATTTAGTTATTTTTAGTAAATAGTTTTTTAACTGAAAAATTTTCTATTATAGCTAATATAAATTGATTTTGTAAATTGATTTTTGTTGTTGGTTATATTTAAATTGGTTTTCTTATTAAAATAATAATAAAAAAATATTACTATATTTTATTATTAATGGTTATTATATATATTTTATAATATTTGTTTATTTAAAATATTATTTTTTGTTCAAAAATTTTCAACTTATTTTTTCTATTGTTAACTTATAATAAAATATATTTATATATATATCTATAGTTTATTATTTGTATTAAATTGTGAAAATAATAATAATAATAATAAATATTAAACAGTATTATAAATATTCTTAGAGTATTATTATTATTATTATTATAACAATTATAATCATATAAATCATTAACATTAAAATCAATATACAATATAACTGTTTGTTTAAATATTTGCATAATCTACATTAATAATAATAATAATAATAATAATACAGTAATATACATTTATAATATTATAGTAATATACAGTTTATATTATAATAGAGAGAAAATGACATAGTTTTTTATTATTTATTTTATTCAAATAAAAAGTAACCTTGATATTTTTTTTCTAAAACTAAATAGATATTAATTTATTAATAAAATTTTAATTTATTATTATATTTTTGTTGTTTTGTATAAATAAATATTTTTATGTTAAAATAATTTATATCTAAAAGATAATTAATATATAATCTAATTATTATTTTTTTTAATTTTAATTATAATTTTTTTTTTAATAATTATTCAATTATTGAATATAAAAAATCAATAAACGTTTAATGAGACAATTTTTTTTAATTAAAACAATAATTTCAATTTCTTTTTAATTATCATAAAAGTTTTGTGTCATTAAGTATATAAAAATAATTATTAATAAAAAGTATATAAAAATAAGTTCAAAAATGATTAGTATATATTATAAACAGTTATTATTATTATTATTATTATTATTAAAAATAATAGTATTATAATATATTTTATATATATATATATATTAATAGTATGAATGTTATAACTTATATAGCAGTTAAAAGATAATTGCAATTTTTTATTACTGGAAAATACCATTTACTCAAATAATTATTATATTTATTATTATTATTATTTTAATAATATTAATATACAATACATAAAATTGTATAAAACATAATTGTATCTAGTTTATTTTTTTGTTTGTTAATACAGTGTCCAGTAAAATATTACATAATATAATACTACTACTACTACTAGTAATAATAATAATATTATTTTTTGTTTATTAAATTTATCTAGCTCACTTGGCTAATCAATTTGTATGTTTATTTTTTTGGATCCGGGACTAAAATAATATCCTAATAATAATAACCATAATAAATATATTATTGGTTATTATCATACAGTTCAATTGATTACAATAATATAATAATATTAATAATAATATTATTGATAATAATAATAATAAGGGAACAGGTAGATTATGCCCATTCCCACCCCCTCCCATTATTTGTGTGTGTGTGTACATGTGCATGAATAAATACTGTAAATAATAATAATAATAATTGAAGACAAATATTATAATATTTTTTAAAACAATCATTTCATCAAAAAAATAAAATAAAAATAAAACATGATTTGCAGTAAGTATTTTGTAATTTATTTTTATAAATTATAATTGTATTTAAAAATATTTGTGTCAGTTATATTTTAGTGTAATATTTAATTATTTAACAAAAAAAACACAATATTATTATAATTACTATTATCTTATTTAGAGATAATGTTATTTATATATGTATATAACAATTGTTGTTTTTTTTTGTTAAAAAATATATATAACTTATATTTATTAAAAAACATACGCTTAGTTAAACTTAAGTTTTTTTTGTATATATATATATATATATATATAAAACAGATTACAAATTATAAATAGTATTATTATTAGTTGTATTTTTTATAGATTTTATTGTCAATCATAAGTCTAGCTTAAAAATAAAATATTATATACCAATAATACTAATACTAATATTAATAGTATTATATTATTATTTTTGATATATGACTTTTGGCTATTTGCTAGAAAAATATATCTATTTATTAATTGTTAAAATTAATTATTAATAATTATTATTATTTAACACAATATATATGCTAATTATAAATAGTGTACCCAAATAATTAAAAATAATAATCCAATAGTTTTATTATATATTTTACACCATAATCCCTTATTAAATTTTATGACACATTATTTATTAGTATATATTTTAATTAGTAAATTCAATATACAAAAAAAAACTCTATAGTAGTAATAATAATAAAACTAATAATAATAAAAAGTTAGCCTGGACACTTTTATTAGTATTAGTATTATTGACATTTAGATAGATAATAGAAACTAAATTGCAGCAAAAAAACTAAATAAAAATAATGTATTATATAACTTATATTGTATAATATATATAATAGTTTATTGCATTAATATTATGTACATTTTTTTTGGAGAGGACAGTATAATATCAGGTAATTGTGCCATAATATTGTGTGTATGTGTGTGTGTGTGTGTGTGTGTGTGTATGTATGTGTATGTATGTATGTGTATCAATATAAAAGCAATTTCTATACAATTTTTTTCTCTCTATATATATTAAATGTATCATAAATGTATATATTGTATGTCTAAATACTGTATATATATATATACTGTTGAATATATTCATCATCAATATATATATATATATATAGTATATATTTGTATCAAATATTTTGTATTGAATATTGTATTGAAATAGCAATAGTTTTTTCTCTCTCTCTCTTTACAATTGTACTGAATTGTATCGATTTTTCCTCTCTCTCTCTCTATCTCTTCAATACAGTACAAGTGCTGGCCTAAGGCATTGGATAGAGAGAGAGAGAGAGAGAGAGAGAGAGAGAGAGAGAGAGAGAGAGAGAGAGAGAGAGAGAGAGGCCTAACCTACCAGTGCAGACGCGCCAGACTCAGATATGACGTCTAGTTGTTTAGTTATATAGACTTTAGGAGAGAGAGAGAGAGAGAGAGAGAGAGAGAGAGAGAGAGAGCTAACTGTGCAATTTGGCAATACATAAGCAGACACTCACTCACTCTCACACACACACACACACTCACTAACACATCAAACTGTTTGGGCAAACATTTAGCTTAACTTTATATATATATATATATATATATATATATATATATATATATATATATTTCTCTGAATATTATTACACAGAATATTCTGTGTTTTTGTTTTGTTGTTTTTGAGTTTAGCGTGAATTCAATTAGTTGTTATAAAACTAAATAAATAATAATAATAATAATTATATACTATATTTCTAGTTAAATGTGATTTTGTTGTTGTTTTTGTTGTTGTTTAGTGTATTTTCCTAATAAAAGTGTATTTCAAACATTTAAAGACATTTAATGTTTTTTAATAGTATAATACTCTAAATACTTTATATATATATATATATTGTGTTAGTGTTTAAGTGATAATGCACTTTGCAATCAATTGCAAAGTACACTATCTATCAATAATATTGTGTAATAATAATATTAAATTGTTATCATTAGCTGTCAATTGTATTGTCAATTGAATTGAATTGAAGTGAAAATTTCTACACAAAAAAAAATAAAACTAAAAGTTAAGTCTAAAACAAATATTATATTATATCAATACAGTATATATAAGAGTAAATTGTTTGATATTTTTTATATATCATATATATATATATATATATTGATATATAATTTTATATAAGATTATGACATTTACGAGAGTATCTATGATATACTCTATCAGTCAATAATAATAATAATAAATAAGTAGTAAAGTCAGCAAAAAATAAATTTTTTATTAATGGATAACTATAACAACATTAATAATAATAACATTATTATATAAAAATATATCTATTATTATCATCTAATGAACAAAAAAATATTAAGTAAATAATTTAATGTTTTTTTTAAAAAAAATTTATTTAAAAAAAATGCATAAAATAATAATAAAATTAATAATAAATTAGTTATATTTTTTCTGAATGCTTAATGTTTTTAATTATTTTTGTGTAACTTTTAGTTGAATTTATTTTCTAATTTTTCTTTACAAATATTTTTATTATAAATAATTAATTTGTAATTATTATTATTATTATTGCATTTTGTTGTTAATGAACAAAAAAACTCAATCAAAATTTTTATTAAAAAAAATTAATTTATAAATATATATATATCTTATATAGACTATGAAATAATGGATGAATTTTTAAATGAAAACCCGGACTATTTGGACGACTATGTGCTCAACAATGTATCGACTGATCAAATTGAGAGATGGCTTATCCGTAAAAATCGCAACAAAAAGACCAGTCTATCCCGTTATAAGGTATGTAATAGTAATAGTAATAATAATTAATTAAATTAAAAATAAAATTAAATTAGTTATTATATACAGTATTGTAAATTAAATAATATAAATATTTAAAAAAAATAATTTAGAAAATAGTTTAATACTGTATTTATTTTATTATGTTTTTATTGTGTGTTAAAAATATAATGTATAAGTTATTATATACAGTATATATACATAAAAATTTTCAACAACAAAAAAATGCTTTAATACTACAATAATACTAAATAATAATAATAATAAATTTTTATAGGATTATAGAAAGTTAACAAAATAATAATAATAATAATACATAAAAAATATCATTATTGTTATTATTAAAAATTTATTTTTTTATTATTATTATTATTATATAATATATCATTAATCGATATGATATTTAAACTATTTTTTTCATTAATGTTTGAGTTTTTTTTATTTTGTTGATATATCATATATATATCAGTAATATTTTTTTTGTTGAAAGAAAAAAATGTTATTTTTTCTAATAAATCAAAAATTTTATTTTATTTTTTGTTGTTGTTGTAAAATGTTTTTATTGCAAACAATTGCCGACAAACTATCTAAAACAAATTTAATACAATAAATACAGTATTATTATTATTATTTTTGATAGTTAGTTAGTATTGTATATAAAGTTTATATATATATATATATATATATATACATTATATTTATTTATATAAATATTATGACATTTCCACTTAAAATGTTTATATGATTTCTAAATCAACCTAGATAATTACCAAATAAACCAAACAAAAAAAAATATATATATAATAATTATTATATTGTCTATTATTGTTATCCAGTACTTCCTAATACTAGATAACTATATATATATAATATGTTATATGATATACAATAAACTTTATGATACCATAAAAATTATTTGTTATGAGTGTAATGTAATAGTGATATACTTTATATATATATTAATTATATTGTATATACTTTACTATATATATAATATATATATATATATAGAAATTAAATAAAAATAAAAAATTGCAATTTGTATGGATACTAACAAAAAAATATATTTGTTTTTTGGTTGGTATCAAATTTTATTATTATTATTATTAGTATTACATAGATATTACAATCATAACAATAATAAATACAATAACAATACAAAAATCTTTTATATTAAACATATCTTTATATATATATACAGTATATACTATATACTGTATATGTGATTATAACAATACACTATAAAAACAATACAATATAACCATTATAACAAAATTTATATTGGTTAATTTATCTAAGTAATACAGTATATATATATATAGTATAATATTTTATATGTAAGATTAAATTAAGCAAGATAAATTAACTGCGATTATAAACATTAGCTTAGAGCATAAAACTGTATAAATACTGTATTAGATAACAATAATTAACAACAATTTATTAAAATAGTATATACAGTGTATGTATAGTTTGTTTTGTATTTTTTGTATTTTTTTGGTGCATTTGGATGCACACGAAAATTAAAGTATTAATTTACAAATTGATGTTTTTTCTTATTACATATAAATATACAGTAATATATATAATGTATATTTATTTTCATTATCAATGCCATACAATATGGTCTTATATAAGATAATATATATATATATTATATAAGAAAACTAAACATAATAACTACAACAACAACAACAAAAATAAAGTTAAATTAGTACAACAATAATATACATTTAACAAATAAAATATTTACTGTACTTATGTTACACACACACACACACACACACACACACACACACACACACACACACACACACACACACACATACATACATACATACATACAAACATACACACATACATACACTTAGACACACACACACATACATGTATTTAACAACAATTATACATGTAATTATTAATATTAAAAAAAATATATGATAGAAAAATAAGCTATTTGATAAAATAATAATGATAATTATCTAATTAATATTTAATAATAAATAAATAATAATAATTAAATAATAATTATTAAAATATATTATAAATTATTAATTCTCAATATTATTATTATTAACATTAATATTAGTATTATTATTGTTACTATAAATAAATTATTTGCATGAAAAATTTTTAGTTTAGTTTAATTATTATTAAAATAATTATTATTAATATTTAAGTACTATTTATTTTATAATAGTAATAATAATTATTTATTTATTTGGTTAATTAATATTTACACAATTAGTATACTAATAATTATTATTACTTTTTAATAAAAAACTAAATTAATATAAATATAATTTATTTATTTTTTTGTATCTCTCCCTGGTCAAACAAACAAACAAATATAAATATAAATAATAAATAATAAATAATAATAAATTGAACATGCTAAGTTTTGTGTACACGCCGACAAACGTAAAATGATACAATCGTTGACCAATTTGTTGCACGACATGCCCCAGAAAGCACAGGTACTACACGAACTGTCCTCAACAATAGCTTCGGCAGTCAATGCCAGCTCATGGAACCTATTCCTCTATGACTACCATCTCAATGATCAGGTTAGTCCAATAAATTTAAAATTAAATTAAAATTAAATTAAAAATATAATAATATAATTATAAAATTTACTATAATTTACTGTAATTATGATATTATTTAAAAAATAATTATAATTATTTTTTTGATAATTTATTATAATTATAATTATAATATTATTTATTTTTAAAAATTATAATTATTTTTTGATAATTTATTATAATTCTAATTATAATATTATTTATTTTTAAAAATTATAATTATTTTTTGATAATTTATTATAATTCTAATTATAATATTATTTATTTTTAAAAATTATAATTATTTTTTGATAATTTATTATAATTATAATTCTAATTATAATATTATTTATTTTTAAAAATTATAATTATTTTTTGATAATTTATTATAATTCTAATTATAATATTATTTATTATTTTTAAAAATTATAATTATTTTTTACTAATTTCTTATAATTCTATTTATAATTATAACATTTTTTATTTTTAATTGTATTTATAATTACTTTTACTAATTTATTATAATTATAATATTATTTATTATATTATAATTTGAAATATTTTTGTTATCATAATTATGTTGTTGTTGTTGTTATAAATTTATTAATTTCTCAATATACCTGTATATCTGTATATATATATACTGTATATATATATATACTGTACAGTACTGTACAATATATTGCAACAATTGATTAGATTAGTTAAAGTTTTATTTTAGTATTTAACAAATATATGATCTTTTTTTTAAAAAAAATATTATATTATCTATCATAAATGTTTTACAACTATTTTTTTTGTATATATATATATATTTATAAATTATATATACTTTAATTGAGTTAATAATAAATGTCTGATAATGATATTTTATCTAATAATGATTGCAAAAAAAATTGCAAAAAATAAATATAAATTATAAATTAACTTGATTTTAGATTAAATTTTTGTTAAAAAAATGTTTTTTATTTTATTTTTATCTATAATTTTTTTGGATCTAATTTTTATCAACATTTAGATGAACACTTAGTTAAACAAAACAAAAAATTTATATTTAAAATATTTTAGTAAAGTTTTTTTGTGGGTGTATTATAATTTGTTTAACTAATAATACTAATAATAATATGCAAATTGTATTGACCTTTTGTACATACATTACATATATAGTTATTTATAGTTATGTTGAACTTGTTTTAAAATAAATTAATTAAAAATGATTATAATTGCTAATAGTATAGTATAAATAGTTTAAATAATAATAATAATATATAAAATTGAGCACACATTTGATGTGTTAATTAAATTAAAAATGCAAATAATTTTAATAATATTATTATTAATATTATTAATAATAATAACCACAAAACATTTTTAATTAAACCCAAATTTACAACTAATATATTGATTTAATGTTTTATTTGTATTATTTTTAATATATAGATATACTGTATAGTATACTATATATAAATATTAATCTAATTGAAAATCTAATATATTATTATTAGTATTATTATATATTATATCAAATACATGCAAATCCTATGCAAATCTCATAACCTTTTTATTTAAACTCTTTCTGTTAATTACATGACACTATTGGGCACATACTGTATATAACATATATATATATACAGTACAGTATAATTGCCAGTTCCTCATTGATATTATTATGTGATAGTAGTAGTAGTTGTTGTAGTTGTCATTAAACTATAGTTATATTATGGCATTGTATGTATGTATGTACAGTATGTGTGTGTGTGTGTGTAGCTGTGTGTATGTATTATATAGTTTGTATTTACGTCATAACTGCATACCAGTGCCATATACTGTATATATACCAAAATCATGTTGTGTGCCCAACCCTTTTTGTTGCCAATCAATATACTTTTACAGTGATTTTGATATATACGCGTACAGTATATACTGTATATATAGCTATCTATTATACTATATATATATAAATTTATATTGTATATACAGTGAGAATAATTTATGTTATACTGTATATATATATGTGTGTGTAATATTTATTATTATTATCACTTATGCTATATATTTTATATTATATATATATATATATATGCTGTTTATATACAGTATATATATATTGCAGTACTCAGGGATTTGCGTATATATATATTATGGTATACCTCTAAATTGGATTACATATATGGCATATATATATATATATTATTATATATAAAATATACTATAAAATAAACATTTAACGTGACAATCATATTAATAAATTAAATTACATATATGTATGAAAATATAATTGTATATATGTTTGAGTGTTGTTTAATGCTGTGTAGAAAATTATTGCCGTTTTATTATTATTATATATAAATTTATAACTAATAGATAATTGTTTAGATAATTTGCTATAAAAAAAATAATGCACAAAACAAATGATAATAAAAAAAATTGAATTAATTTATGCAATAAATTCCACATAAAAATATATCTATTAATTATTATTTAGAAATTTTTTTTCAATAATTTTTTTTGTTGCAATAATATTTCTAATAAGATAACTAATTATTTATATATAAATTAATTTATTTATATAGCTTAATAATATACAAATTATTATATTGATTGACTATTTTTGATTATAGTTTTTGATTATAAAATATTGATAATTAGATATTAAATCTAATTATAATTATATATAAATCACACAAATAAAACTAACTATAATTACTCACAACAACAACAACAAAAAATTCAAACAAATTTTGATTTATAATTTTGATTATATTATAATACTGTACATGTATTTAATAAAAACATTTGACTATTTTGTGTGTGTGTGTGTGCAAAATGTTTACATACAGTTTATTATTAATAATAATATTATTATTAGTTTAGTGATTATATACAGTATATACTGTACATGTAGTTTTTGAAAAAGTATATACAAAAAAATAAAATAAACTATTAATTATATTCAAACAAACTTTAAAAGGTTTGTTTTATGGATTCTATATGTTTGTGTGTGTGTGTGTGTGTGTGTGTGTCTGTGTGTTGGTTTTCAAAGTGCGAATTTTAAAATTTTGATTTCAGATTTAGATTCTCCATCAAAAATAAGGTATAGAAGATCAGCATTGAAATTTTGATATCTCTTCAGGAACATAGAGAAAATGGCGGCCAAAGTACAAAAAATTATGTTATCAGATTTAATAAGCTTAGATAATCTTAAAAATTAAAAATATTATGATTCTATATAAAATTTTATTTTATATATACATAAAAATGGCTGCTAATATACAAAATTTATTAAATTAAAAAAATAGTATATTATTTACTACTATAGAATACAAATTTAAATTTAAACAAAAATAATGCACTTTTATATAGTAATATATAGTAATACATAGTAAGATATAGTAATATATAGTAATATATAGTAATATATAGTAATATATAGTAATATATAGTAATATATAGTAATATATAGTAATATATAGTAATATATAGTAATATATAGTAATATATAGTAATATATAGTAATATATAGTAATATATAGTAATATATAGTAATATATAGTAATATATAGTAATATATAGTAATATATAGTAATATATAGTAATATATAGTAATATATAGTAATATATAGTAATATATAGTAATATATAGTAATATATAGTAATATATAGTAATATATAGTACTATAATACATAGTAATAAATGGTAATATATATACATACAATACATACAATACATACAATACATACAATACATACAATACATACAATACATACAATACATACAATACATACAATACATACAATACATACAATGCTTACAGTACTTACAATACTTACAATACTTACAATACTTACAATACTTACAATACATACAATCAACATTAATAATTGCGTTAACATTAATATTGCGTCAACATTAATATTACGTCAACATTTAATAATTGCGTTAACATTAATAATTGCGTCAACATTAATAATTGCGTTAACATTAATATTACGTTAACATTTAATAATTTTAAATAAAGTGAAATTATTATTTCAAGTCTCAGTTCAAGTCGAGCCATCGAAGGGAATGTACTATCGTACTATGTACGTAATATTTATTTTTAACTAATCATATTACAGATTATTGTATTATATATTAATTGAATATTAAAATTCAAGTCATATTTAAGATCAAGACATTTATGATTATTTGAATAAAATGTCTACTATTAATATGTGCAACATTTGTCAATTGAATGTCGAACTTATTCAATTTGCTCTAATGGAAAAACCTTGTATTCACCGCTTTTGTCCTTCATGTTTGATGTCACTTATAAAGACTGCATTCGATCAATTTAAAGATCTCAACTGTGCATATTGTCGTAATTTATGGATGAATAAAAACGAACTTAATTTTGGAGTAAAAGCACATCTTCTTCAACATCCTAATTACTTTGATATTCTTGAAATTAATGTAAACAATAACTATAATATAGATAATCAAAATATTATGATAAATGATCAAATCGTGTCTTCAGAAATTATTTTTATTGAAGAAATAATTACAATTATTGACTATGAAATTATAACTATTGATTAAATAATTTGTATAAATTTCATTAAAAGGAAATTAATTAAATAAAAATATTTTTGAAAAAATTAATTTGAATAATATTTTCTTTATTTATGTGATTACCTTTTTGTTGCGTCAACATTTTATTGTGTTATAAAGTAGTAATTGTAAGTCAAGTCATTTAAAATCTGTCATTTTAAGGCGAGCTATCGGAGAGAACAGTCGTAATTAGAATAAATTATTTATAAATCTAAATTAGTTATCTTTATTCATAATAAATATAAATATTAATATAAAATAATTACTTTATTTATGTGATTGCCTTTTTGTAACATCAATATTATTATTGAGTCAACATTATTACGTCAACAGTTTATTGTAATATAAAGTAATAATTATAAGTCAAGTCATTTGAAGTCGAGCTATCGGAAAGAACAGTCGTAACTATTAT